GACCCTGAAAGACATCTGTCCAAACATAAATTAACATTGTGTGACTGGCCAGGAAAAGGATATAAATGGACAATACAAACAATAACATTAGCAATATGGCTTTATTTTCTGTATTGATTTAATTGGGTTATAAATTTGAGACATCAAACTCTGAAAGTATACATAATGTATTTAAACACTCCAATTTCAAAATAAGCCTACAATGAATTAAAGAAGTCACATGACTAAATTAATTCCCAAACCCCCTTCAACCGATTTTCTATCAATAGATCTGTGCCTGGTATTCGTTGGTGTGGGAGTAAAAGCCTCGACAGTTGGAATTTGATATAAGAATAGACCGTATCCCCCACTCTTCGGGCAAAATTCATTCCTACATGTAGCACACTCCATTGTGTACATGTAGAATGTAGGCCCACCTTCATTAGCCTGGATGTTTCAGAAAAATAGGACATTAATCTACATTTCATTTTGTATGTCCTGTACATTTAGGATCTCCACTGTTTTTTTTTTTATTTAACAATATTTACATTGTAATTCTCAGAAAAGGATTGAGGAACAAGCTAGGCCTGTATTACCTCTCTTTACTGTTGAGGAAATATATTTTAATCGTGATTGTTGAACATGACCACATGAACTATATATGGTTGTCTATGTTCACTGGTTGACATGGTATCACAACAATAATATAGACGACCACCTGACACACAATAAATATATAATTAACCACTAATTAAAATCAATACTAACTCATTCATTCGTTTAAATCAAATAAAAGTTGAAAATTAAACATACATACATCAAAGTGATACACAGGCCAAACCAGTTTCAACTACATTTTACATGTATTTTTTCTTTTTCAATTTCTTTGGAGGGGAAAATAATCTATTTTTAGTTTTTAGGTTTTGAAATTTCAAACACAAAAAAGGACTTAATGGACCATTTATTGGTCAAAACCCAAAAGAACTAACATAGTACGTCATTGCCGCCATTTTGGAATTGTTATGTCTAATCAAAAATTATATTATTCATGGAACAAGTCTGCCAAGTTTTATGGCAAGCGTAAATGAATTGGCAGAGTTTTAGTGGGGTTTTTTAATACATGTAGCGTTGCCCCCACAAAGAAGATCAACAACAGGATGAGTAGCAATAGGGAACCAGTTTCTGGTCCAAAAATTAAATTACTGTAGCCTTATGATTGTTATTACACATAGATCCGTATTCTAAAAGATGTAATTTTAAAATTTTAACTGACTGACTCATATCTATTTGTAGACTAAGGCTATACTTTTATTTTTAAATAATGTGGTAAATCTTGATATAAATACAAGTACATGTAGTTAAAAAAAATTAATTTAATATTCAATATTAATCATCATAAATACATAATCAAAATATATGTGAAAGAAATTATCTGCACCCAATACCTGTTATTACCAGTAAATTCCGATCTGATTATACATTGATCTGTAAGATATTTTTGATTTTTCTCTAATTACTTTCATCTCTGTATAATTTATAAACACTGATTTATCAGAGATATTTATTTCAAATACTGATTTATTTATGTATATTTCAAATGGCCTGATTACACTAACTAATAAATTGTATACACTAGAAGAAATCATAGAGATGTTATTTTTAACATGAAACCAAACTCTTTATGAAAGACTCTAAAGATAGTAACTAGATCTATAAAACAACAAAGGCCTGAAGTCATCCTCTCTGTCTCTAACTAATAAGGTTTATTTATGGTGACCTATATTTACATTTCTGGGTCATCCTCTTTATCAAACCATCCATATTCTACATGTCATCAATAAGAGGAATAAATGTAGGTGAAATGGATATTAATGAACATTAACAACAGCTAAGGGGGTATTTAACCAGAAAGACTAAAAATACATTTTTGTAACCTGAAAAACATCAATGGATATTAAATACATGTACAAGTGCCACATTTATTTACTTCTTTCAGTTTCATATTAATCTACATGTACACCCACTCTTTCACAGAGAGAGAGAGAGAGAGCCAAGAGGTTAGAGAGGCAACACTACTCCATGTGATATGTCTGGGGCTGAAACCACAAGGCTTGTATCAATGACTGTACATGTATATGATCTAAAGTGTGTTCTTTAGACCACCTGATTTCCTGTTTCACAGAGAGAGGATTAATTTGGGCCCACTGAACTCAATATGGTTTCAAACAGCACACATCAAATTAAGTTAAATACATTAACTGATCTAATCTAATGAATACAGGCTTACACTTTGCTGTGTGCGATGAGGGAAATTTAGAATGGACAATAACGTTTACATACATGTACACGCATACGTGTACACACAGGAACTCAGTTTTTCGTCCCATTTGAACGACTAAATATCATTCATTGCCAGGACCACTGTCCATCACAACTGAAACCCTACCAAAAAACTCTAATAAACTTTTCCCTAAACAGCGGGATAGAAAAACCCCGGAACACCTGTTTAGTAAGCCAACTCTTTACATGCCGAGTCACCGTGAAACTGCAGTTAAATATATGTACAAGTCAGTTTACTAGGCAATTCATAAAAATTACATGTGCCATCTGATTGAACAAGTCTGGACATAAGGTAAATGTCACAGACTTGGTCCAGTACAAATTATCACACAATGTATGCCTGGACACAAGGCATCTGTCACAGACTCTGTCAGGCATAAATTATTACACAACGTATATCTTACATGTATAATAAAAACATGTGATAATTTGTGTCTAACAAAGACTGTGATATGTCCAGACTTACATCTCAAACAGGTGTCCAGCCATTTCGGAATAACATAATTTGATATTTCAACCAAATCAAAATGTGTATTAGTTAGAATAACATTGATCAAATAATGAGCTAGATTATTTACACACAGTAGTATAATCAGTAAGCTTCCTCCTTATGAACCCTCTAAGGTACTCTTGTTCATTTCCTATTTGATATACTCCATGAGTAGGACGTTAGCTCGCTATCCTGGAGGTCCCATGTTCGATCCCTGTGTCAGCCAAGAACGTTTATCAGGATTTTTCAGGCGTGGTTCTGGACACAGGACCTGGCAAGGTACATTGTACAACATGTATATTTGAAGTTGTTTGGATGGTACGAAAAACTGAGGTCCTGTGTACACATTGATATGCACGTACATGTAAAAGATCCTTGGAGAGTTGGAATTTGATATAAGAGTAGGCTGCACCGCCGCTGTCCAGGCAAAATTTACTCTCATAGTAAACTGTATGGTGTATGCCTTTCTTTATTAGCCCAGTAGGACTTTAAACCCCATTTCATTTCATTATCATTTATTTGATTTTCAATGTTCAGTGAACCTGACATTTTGAATACAAGTAATGAAGTACATGTACATGTAACTTTAAATTCTTAGGGAAAAAGATAATGAAAGTTAAACGAGCTACTGTAAACTCTGGTTACACATTATAATCCTAGGTCTATCATATTACAGATCAAAATATTTCCTCATTCAATATTTAAGAGGAAAAAACAATTAATGAAATGCAAATCCAGACCATTCACTTTCCAATAACACATCTGCACTTTTAGTTAGAAGCATAATCAATTATATTCATTCAACATTTCTACAATTACATGTATAAAACCTCTTACATGTAAATATCGGTTGGAAAACAAAATAGATACTCCCAAGCCTGGAAATACATGTACGGCACATGTCACTGACATATATAGTCAGGCACAGAATCAGACTTTGTCAGTTACATGTACAATCACATTTCATTTTATTTGTGGTACAGATTTGTGTAAAAAAGTATGATGTTTATTAAAACAGATTTCATTTATACATTACGATACAAATCTGTTTATTTTTAGTGTTTTTTAGTGATTTTTTTAATACATTTCCGACTCTAACACAAAAGCTCAAAATGTCAGCTATATAATTTCAAAATTTGGAAAGGTTCATGTAAAATCATTAAATATTACCAGGCCTGGATAGCTGCTATCGAATGGTTAATTGGCAGTTACCATTAGCCTGGGAATACACATTGCAGATGTCTGTTAGGTGCATCATCAGCCGATCAATGAAGTCGACAAAGGGTCAAATCCATAGTTTCGTTTTCTTATTAAACTTCAAGTACATGTATTACAATTCTTGGTCGAAGAACGGTTGATCATAAACAGAGAACGTGGGGCATGCTGGGTGACGTGTGTTCGTATATATATGTAATTAGCCTATAAATGCCAATTTGTAAATTTGGCTCGTTGATATGCCATTTGTCTATTGAATATCTGAGTGCAGATAAGCTGCTTGTACCAGTACATGTAATGAATCTGATATGTACATGAATTACATACATGTACGTATTATAATCAAGTATCGTTTGTGAACTATTTCATTGAATTCATAATGTTAATTAATACAGTAACAGGTTTAAACCAACCGATGCTACATGTACATGTAGGCCTACATGTACTAATAATAATAACTACAGTAGGCCTGTTAATATTAACATCTATGTAATATCAATAACAGCATTATGTTCCATGAAAAAGCTGATATGCTAATTAAGGATTGTGATGTTGTAATACTAATACTATAATATATTAATAGAACTATATTCTGAAGATAAGTCCTTGTTTTCTTCCAGTGAAGACGTCATTGGGGCTAGTATTACACCATTATCCAAGTCATAGTGTACATTGTACAGTACAATGTACATCTCTCATGACATTATTTTTTTTTTTTTTTTTACATGTCATCCAACATGTGGATACGATGAACATACATGTAGTGACTAAGTTATAAAATGAAAGTATGACTAATTATCTACTGACTGGATATGATGTAACAACTGTCATGTCAAATGCTGAAACAAAAACCTATTTTGTTAGAATAAAATAATAGCTCTACTAAAGCTTAATCAAATCATCTATAATTTCTAGTATTTGTGAATGTGATTTGTCTAAGATAATACGCAGTAAAATCATTGATAAACATAATTACCTCTCAAAACACCTGTCCACGTTGTCTGACATCAGAAGCAACATACATAATTGTTCAAGGGCAATCAATTGCATATCCCTTTCATCTCCTTGGCCCATCTGAAGCCATTCTAAAAGTGTTTCTGGATCAACGTCGGCCATGTTGGATTTACCGTTTTCTCAAACCAACCAAAACAACAGCTAATTTCTCTCAATATTTCTTCTTTCTGATGTCCAATATTTTATCATTCCTTGTAAATTTGACCTATATTTCTAACCCCATCATAAAAACACCATTTTTATAAAATAAATAAAGTACATTCTTATTTTAAACGCGACTGATCTTTGCTATTATTCACCTCGTCTCGTGTGTTGGCTAAGTCATCCAATAATTTCTGTTGCGTGTACTAAGTCGGAAGTTCACACAGTTACTGCGACCTTCCTCTGGATATTTTGGGGCACAGAGCTGACCCAACGGTCTGGCCCGAGGAAATCTAAGGTGCGAATTCCTCTTATTTATGATTCCACGTCTACAGTAATTGGTTTAAAAAATAACAAAGAAAAGCAGCTGTTTTGTGGCTGCTTAGATTTCCATAGATTCGCCGAGCAATCAAGCCTCGTTATCGTTGTAGTCTCGGACCGTCTGGAAATATAATGGCAACGCAATTAAACAGTTACAGCTGGATAACCTCGACACGGATATTGAGATCATTAAACTCTTGAAGGTCAAGGTTAATACGCAAACGAAAGTAGGGATATTCCGACGATGAGATCAGCTCTATGAACAGAAATGCAAATGAAATATTTCAGTATCAATAGAATATAACAACATCGTATACTTTTTCTTCCCCAACTGCACCGAGAAAGAAATAATAGAAGTCTCTTGTATTAACTTTAAACCTCAATGGATTTACTGGTTAAGTCACAATATAAGTGCTGATGTAGTGACTTGTGGTGGGCCAGAAGTTTCAGACAACAATTCAGTGATTGTTTTTATTAATTTGGGATTTAACGTCCGCTTGCACTCTGGTTGATATAGCAGACGAACCATTATTTGAGTCAATTCAGTGCATGCACATGGGTTTATTCCTGCAGTGAAAACTGGAGTACCCAGAGTAATTTTAATCCACAAGGTTAGAGGAGGTGTCCCCATTTCCAAGCCACAGAGGTGGAACTCACGACTGCAACCTGCCAGAGCTCAAAGTGCAACACTTTACATCCCAACAATGCTATGATCCTGGTGTTGGATGAGAAAGTTTCTCAAGATTTTCTGACCTGGTTTCCCCTCGTCAGACAGTGGTGCAGGACAGAGGGTCTGGCAAGCAACTGTGTAGTCTTTCGGATGGAACGGAAACTGAAAGTGCTGTGTACAGTGTACACACTGGCTGGCGCACATGATAAAGAACCCTAGACAGTTGCAATTTCGAAATAAGAGTAAGCTGTAGTGCAGCTCTTCGGGGAAATTTCCCTCATAGCACAATGCATGGCGTAGCGTATATATCTTCGAAATGAAATGAATTGAAATGGGGTTTAATGTCCTACTGTTCTGCTCCTATACAGGGCTAATGAAGACGGGCATACACCATACAGTGTGCTATGAGGGAAATTTTGCCCGGGCAGCGGCACTATCGCCTACTCTTATATCGAATTCCAACTGCCAGGGGATCTTTTACATGCATTCCAATATATACACCGGACCTCGTTTTTTCGTCTCATCCAAAAGACTAGACAGCTGTCCTTGTCAGGTCCTCCGTCCTGCATCACTGACAAGGGGAAACCACGTCGGAAAATCTGGATGAACTTTCTCGGCCAATGCAGGGATCGAAATATATCTTTGAATTAGCCCGGGGGAGCATAAAAGAAGGATGTTAAACCCCATTTCATTTCATATTGAACTCTTCAAGTTATTCAGAATAATTTCCTGCTATAGGCTACAGGAGAATTTAAAATAGGCAACATATGGTTTAGGATGATGTAATAAAATCAAAACAGAAAATTAAATACTTTCTAAATCTGTAGCGATCCTTATATGTTGAACCCATGTGATATGAATGATATAAGGATATTTACTGTTCAGGTATTACATCAGTCTACAGAAAACCCATATCCTTTGACCCTTTGACCCTTGCATGTCACATACTAATTGACCTAAGACAAGTCTGCCACGAAGTTTACTTGTAATCACATATTACACCAAGAGATGAAAAAAGTAAATCTTCCATCAGAATTGTAAGCCGTTAAAATTTTTGACAGCTTCAATTAATCACATTACGATAATTAGTCTGTATGATATCCTTTAAGATTTAACACAACAGCTGCTGCTGCAGCGATTACATGGATTGAGCCTACCTGTACATAGATAAGATATTAATTATTGATCTGCTTATATATTATGTATTTCTGATTTTACCTCAATTTTACCTGAGAAACGGTTTATTATACAGGTATCTTTTTACCTGAGATGGGGTTTATAATACAGGTATGAATGGGTTAGGGTTTTAACCCAAGAAACAGTTTATAATACTGGCCTGGGTTTCACAAAACATTTTCAGACTTAAGAATTTACTCAAAATTGTTGGCCTTATTTTTACTAAAATATACCCTTTATAAAACTTTTGTTGTTTTAATGTACATTTGTATCAAATACATTAATAAGAAACTATGTGCAAAGTTTTGTGTTTCTGGATTAAAGAATTTCACATAAACAGTGCTTGATAGTTGAGTAGATTCTTCACCTAAGTCTGAGAATGCTTTGTAAAACCGGGGGCCAGATATGTATCTAACCGCAATATTGTAGACTTTTGTCTAGCACTGTGGTTCCCTTTGAAATCAATTAAAACAACTTAGAACCTGTACCTGTATTAAACATACATTATGCAAGAGCTAAATCTGCCTGTTGCATGTCTTTCTTTAGGTCTGAAATGTTAACTATTAATTAGACATTTATTAACATGAAAAACTCTCGATGCCATCTTATATTTTCGTTTTTTACTGGATTCAAAGGAAGTCCGTCCCAAGTCCTAAGACAGGCGCTGCGAATTTGGAGTAGGAAGTAGCGAAGTACGTGATTTGGAGTATGTCCTGGCTAGCAACAGAAATAACAGAATCTTAGCATCAGTCACAAAGGAGGAATATTGGCTCATGGAGTTTGGATATGGCTAGCTTAGAATGAAAAAGTATACACATTAATTTTAAAGTTTCCAAGTCAATCAGATTTGATGCTTGCAGAGTGAGGTAATGTCCACATGGGAGAATGCTGGCTTATATTATAAAGTACTTGGTACACACAGAGTGTTAGCCACGGTGGCTTAGTGAGTAAGGTGCTGGCTCACTAGGCTGGGGGTCGCGGGTTCGCTCCCGGTGTTGGCCGGGAAAGTTCATCAGGATTTTCTGGTGTGGTTTCCCTTGTCAGTGGTGCAGGACAGAGGGCTTAACGAGGACAGCTGTCAGTCATTCAGATGGGAAAGAAAACTGAGGTCCCATGCAAGGAAAAGACCCCTTGACAATTAGAATTAGATATAAGAGGCTGTGGTGCTGCTGTGTGGCAAAATTTCCCTCATAGCACACTGTATGACCAGACCCATAAAAAAATTGTCGACCATAATAAAAATAGATATACATTGTCTGGCAATTTTAAAGCACCCCTGGAAACACTTCCCGCCCCCTCATTCCTCTAAGCTAGTTACGGCCCTGTGTACGACGTATATGCCCATCAGTCAGAGCAGAACAGTAGGACGTTAAACCCCATTTCATTTCGCTTAAAAGCGTGAGTGATCTCTACCATCAAGTGATTAATAGGAAAGAATGAGACTGGAATGTTTGATATTGTTGAATTGTCATGGTTTGTATGATAAACATCTGACTGTACAGTCACCTGAAATATTTTATGTTTTTATCCACAGGACATGTTTACCTGAAACATACTAAAATCATTGGTGGACTTAATCTGACCTTTTTATTCAAACAAACAAAAACAATATGTACTGTCTCAATTTGACCGATCAACCATGCACAACGTAGAAAGTAGGCATTGATTTATTTTCCAAGATTCCCCTGTCAAAGATGACAGCATAAATCAGTCAATTTGTTTAAAGTGACTAGTAGATCTATTTTGGGTTCTTGTTGTTTTTATTCGATCATGCACTTTGTAATAGATTTTAGGGTCCATGATTGGATTTTGAGTTCTTGTTGTTTTTTTATTGGAGAGAGAAATGGGGTTTAACGTCCACTCGACACAAACTAGGTCATTTCAGGACTAACACATGGTTCAATTTTATTTCAATCATTCGCTTGCGCGTAGGGGTCTTTAGCAGTGGGAGGAAACCGGAGGACCCTGAGAAAACCCACGAGGTTGTACAGGCGACCCTACTCCTTGTCACGTACAACTGGGGAATTGAAACCCCGCCAGTTGACTAAATGACAGACCGTATGGTTTTTTAATGGACCATGGAGCTTGTAATAGATTTAAGGGTCCATGATTGGATTTGATATGTTGATATTTTCCGGATTTGATTCCCAGCATGAGCAAAGAAGAACCTTGTTCACATATATATACTATTCAAAAAAAGTAGGGGATATTGATTTTTAAGTGTTATTAAAGTCACCTAATAAAACTGACGAAGAAACAAATGACAAAATGAAATGAAGTTCACATTCATCGATTTATTCCAAATGATCGTTAGACTAAGTAAGGCGCAGACTGACCATTATAAGGGTAAAATGATACCTGGGGTCAAACAGCAAAGTTACCACAGAATCACAACCAAGTCAGTAACGGGTAAATCCTCCTCTGTTTGCCAAACAAGCATTGATCCGACGTGGCATACTCCTAATGAGACGTCTAAGGTCATTTTGGTCCAGATTGTCCCATTCCTGTTGCAACGCAGCAGCAAGTTCTTGGACATTGGCAGGACGTTGTTGACGTTGACGTAACCTCTGTCCAAGCATGTCCCAGACATGCTCGATGGGGGAGAGGTTGGGACTCAGTGCTGGCCAAGGTAATGTGGTGATTTTCTGTTGTTGGAGGTAACCTGTAACGATCCTGGCCCTGTGACATCTTGCGTTGTCATCCTGGAAGATGAAACGGCGGCCATGACGTCGTGCGAACGGCACAACATGGACTGCCAAGATGTTGTCCCGGTAGTGCTGGCCTGTAACACGCCCTGCAACAACATGTAAAGCCGTTCTTCCAGCAACAGTGATGCCTCCCCACACCATAACAGAACCCCCCCCAAATCGATCATGTCTGATGACGTTAACGTCTTGGAAGCGCTCGTTTCGACGACGCCACACCCTCCTATGTCTGTCCAAAAAATCAACAGTGAACCTTGACTCATCTGAAAACATCACATTGCTCCAGCGTCGATTATCCCAGTGTTGACGATCCCTACACCAACGACGTCTTGCCTGAATGTGATGATCTCTCAAACAAGGGATCATGCGAGGACGTCGGGCGCGAAGGTGACCCCTATGCAGTCGACTCCGAATCGTCTGGCCACTCACTCTCACACCAGTGTCTGTTTGAAGACGAGCGCTGATCTGATTTGCTGTGATGACACGATTTCTCAAGGCCAAGGTACGGATAAATCGATCCTGGGCTTGAGTTATCGACCTG